GAAATATCATCAAAGTATATAAACGCATCTTATCTTTTCTTTCAGCTTTGTGTAACTGAAATTACCGGGTACAGTATTTTGGTAATTATCTAGAAATATCTCTCCGATATTTTTTATCGATTTTTCTCAGATAAAAGGCGACTTGTTGCACGATTGGACGTCTTTTCGGGTCATTACTCAAGCATTGTTGAACCAAATTAATCAATTCAAGCATCATTGTATATTCCTTATCACACTTTGGCCTCTTTCCTCGTTTTACTGCATCGATAAATTGGGCAACACCAAAAGCAGCAAAATCTGTATCTGAATACGATCGAGTTCCAGACCAAAGTTCCCATGTAAGAATACCCATACTGTACACATCTGAGCTGAAACTATAGACTGTTTCCTCCAGAAGTTCTGGTGCCATATGCAGTCTTCATAACCTCTGATCCCCTTTCACAATTGCATGTTATTTAGTTCCGCCCATTGTTTTCTAGTTTAGGGCAGACACATATCCTTTGGGGGACGATATGCCGATTTTCATGGAATGGCAATAACGTGTCACATTGAAGGTTCCATGATAACCGCCATATGAATACATCTGCGGATGTTTCAAATTCCATATTTTACGAGTTCATGTCTAAATGTTGAATACTGCTGAAGCCGATGCTAGGGGCGTGGACGGTAACTTGCACATGACAGTACCGTCCATGAATAGGCTCAATCAAACCAAGCCTGCAACATTTTCAATTTTGTCGTTTTGTACGTTCTTAAGGAATTCTTTATTTCTCTCTATTTTAATGGTTTCATGTCATGCTTTTGTACTTAAATTTTAGACAAAGTCAGTCCGACAGAATCAATTTCATTGCAATACATAAAACATTTTAGGAGTTTTAAATCAATTTCTTCTCCACACCTTCTTTGTACAAAGTTCTAAAGTATTAATTAATCTTTAGAATTTTGATCGAAATGCTCATAAAATGTTTAATCCTAATTAAATGGATTCACAAAACATGGCATATATACATGGAAATACATTTGGCGTGACTATCGGATTAGCGTAATGTGCCAAAGCTACCATCCACGTATGCTAGCAACGCCTTTATGATAACGCACAAAAATGTGTCGTGAACTTACGAGAAAACAATGTTCAAAGATATAACAAATAGGTATTGAACTAGAGACCAATACCTGCGTATTAAAATTACTGTCATAATGCAACTTTACAGATCAGGTATCATACCATTGATGTGATAAAACAGTATGCAAGCAGATATGCTAGTACGATAAGTAATAGAAAGAGCACCGAAACACGAGGTTATCTGATTTGTACGAGGGGGCGTAGCCCCCCGAGTATTAATCAGATTACCGAGTGTTTTGGTGTTCTTTCTCTTTTGTATCATAGTCAAACACAAAAACACGTTCCCTGTTGTTACAATATGAAACCCCGGCAAAAATGAACCAATGAACGAGCATCTAAATATGACATTTCTGTCGATTTCACTTTCACTGCCGTCAAAATATGTAAACCCCAGCAAAAATGAGCCAATCAATGGGCATGCTCTGGAGTGCGGGTAACTAATACCCGCACTCCAGTTAACGCACTGTGCATGTATATGTATACGATTTAACCCTGACACATTTTCAACAGAAAGGTCTCCAAACTATGATACAAGCTTTTCGTACAGCTTTCCTAGCATTTTTTGTTTCTGGCTCGATTTATTGGGGACAGCGTTCTGTAAACGTCGTTCTGCCTTTTCGAGATATGTTCATATATTTGTATTCATTACAATGGATGGTTATATTTTGTAATTTAACATTTTACTTGGTAAGACCACAAGTTTGTTTTTCTTTTCTAGTCTATTGCATATTTCCTCATTTTCTAAGAAATTCTTGGCCTATTTGTCATCTCGTGTTGCACAGGCGGGTTCAAGCATTTAAAAATGACAGCCATGTTTTCAAAGTATCGACTTTGTATGTAATTTTGGAAACAATCAAGATTGAGAATTTTGTTTTTATTATTATTATTGTTATTATAATTCTGATTGTTATTACTAAATGCCTGAAAATTGCTAAAATGGTTGATAGTTGTAATAAAAATGGATTTCACCTTACGTTACATGCAGTCATTCTCCTTATAAAAATTGAGCCATTTTCGCTCTGAAGTATGATGACTCGGTTTCATTTTTCTGTGAGGTCGATATGTAAAACCTTTTGTAAATAATTTTATAGGGACCATGGACAGGAACTTTAAAGGGAATGAGAAGACAATTATGCTTGTTGGTGAAACTGGATCAAGAAAAAGTACAATGTAAGACGGGATGGTCAATTTCATATCGGAGTAAATTTTTCCCACACATTTCGTTATACAATTGTCCATATGGAGGAAGAAGAATTGAAGGAGCAGGAAAGTCAAGTAAGATATTTAAGCTGGATCTTATTTTAACTCTAATGTAGGGATACAATCGAAATTCTGGAACGAAATATCGGTCGAAAGCAACTGAAAAACCCAGCCTTTAGCCTTCACTTACTTATTTTAGCTTTGATTGCTCTCGAAGAAACGCCCCTTTTACATATTTTCAAAATTATTCTATATTAAGAAATAAAAAACTTCCGATTGAAAACACGTATATGTTAGAGTCTCGTATTACTTTGGTTATAATAATCACCACAGTATCGCGTTTTCCGGTTACAATATAGAATTTTCAAGATTTTAATAAAATAGAGAAAAAACAGAATCCTTAACAGAAGTCCGACACGGAAAACATGAAAATGTTGCATGATCAATTTGATTGAGCCTGTTCATGGACGGTAGTGGAATCTGCAAGCTACCGTCCACGCTTCCTATCACCGGCTTCAGCAGAATTCATATTAAACATGAACTGGTAAACTTAAGATTTTTTAACATATGTGGATGTGTTCATATGGCGATTACCATAAAACCTTCAATGTGACACGTAATTGCCATTCCATGAAAAGCGGCATATTACCCCCAGGTTAAAAATTACGTGTGCCCTAAACGAGAATACAATGAGTGAAACTAAATAAAATATTTTGAGAGGGGATCGGAGGTCCTGAAATAGAGTGAAATAAGAATCCATAAAGAAAGCCCAACGCGGCAGAATTTAAAATGTTGCAGGTTCGGTTTGATTGAGCCTGTTCGTGGACAGTACTGTCAAGTGCAAACTACCGTCCATACCCCCTAGCACCGGCTTAAGCAGAATTCAACATTTAACATGATTTATGAAGCCTGCATACCTTAGATAAGCTGTCAAAAGACACAATTAAAAAGCAGGAAATACCCAAAGGGTGATTAATCATTATTTAAGTGAGAAATTCGGCAACCTTAAAACTTATTTTAAGTTGGAATTTCCATCTAAAATACTAGTAACGTATTTTGCAAGTATTTAAAAAGGGTTTGTTACGTTTGGTTTTCTTGCATTTTAAAGTTCAACGACACTGAGGTCATTTGAAAACATTCCTGTTTTAGTGTAAAGAAACATTTCAAACATAAGCGGGCACCTGACTCGAACCACCGACCTTCCGTAAACTAGCTTGATAGATTCCTCACATACAAAAAATCCAAAGTCGTAATGGGATTTCAACCACAGCAGTCAAGGAAAGATGATTTGGATTTGAAGTCGGCGGCCTTATCCCGACTCTGCCACTATAATGTACCTCCATCAGGCTCACCGGAGAAGATATTGTAATTGTCTGACCTTAATTTATACTTTATAACTTTCAATATTTTTTTTTTCAGAAACATGGAAACTTCTATAAAAATATGAGACACAAGACAATTTTTTTCTTTTTCAATAATGTTGTAAGTATCAAATAATGTTATTGCGGTTGACATAATTTGTACTTAGTCGTCATATCTACTTCAAGATGATTGCTTTAACATATTTTCTAAACATTACCAATTAAATATTATTAGTTTGTTTTATCTATCAATCTACTGTTTTACTCACTCGAATTAATGAAGTGATTTTATCACTTTCAAAAGAAACACTGTCGCTTTTCCTAAACTTTTGCCATTTCTGTTACAAAAAAATGTATAAATATTAAAGCGTGTTTATATATAAAAATTACTTTTAAGCCTAGTCGAGAAATTGAGTATCATAATTAATCAAAATATTTGTCTTGCCATTGCTTTTAAAACCAATGCATCGCATAAAATAATTTCAATTACTAGTATACTGTGCTAAAATATAAGCCAGTGAAACAAACTATTGTCTGACATAGCCGCCACTCAAACTTGGAATTCTTCATTCGTTTCTTTCACATTTACATGATCATGGCATGGAACATACATAGTAATATATAAATCTGCCACAATCTAGGAAAGATATATACAGGTGTCGTCTTAAAGGGACTCCACTGAGGTTTTTTACATGATGGGACTGAAAATAGTTTTACCAGATAAATGTACCATTTGATGTAGGTTTAGACCACAAATCTTGCAAAATTTCAGATCATTCGCGCACTTCGTTTTTCCAGAATAATTATTCAATTGTAAAAAAATGACCCAAAATGAATAGCGTTTTAAACGCTTTTCACTCAAATCGGGATAAGAAAAGCATAAAATACGATTTTCAATTTATATCACAGTATATTTCTTAACTATTTTTGCATATATTTCTGTTTTAAGTGCCCCAGCTCATTGATGTAAGAAATTCAAATGTTATGATTTTAGGCTTTTAAACCTCAGTGGAGTCCTTTTAAGAATTAAAAGGTTTTGAGTTCAGACAGTTAACAGACAAACCGAATGCACTAACTTCAAATTGTTGTCACCAAGTTTATTTAATTATTTTTTGATACGGATGTTCTGTACTACAAATGGCATGATGTTGACCCTGTCCTAACCTACGTTTCGGAGAAACTCTATTGCCTTTGAACCTGTCCTAATTTGCGGATCGGAGCAATTTTGTGTCTTGTAATACTCATGGCTTTATAATTTTCCGGTTATTTAAAAAACTTCAAAGACGTAAGTAAACAATCAAATATATATAAATTATATGACTTTATTAATTAAAACAAACTATTTAGTTGTTGAAGTAGAATTACAATAATTTTGATGTTTGGGTATTCCTTCACTTATGAATTCTTATAGGTATATTTTCAATAGTTCATCGTCACAATTATTCATACAAATACTCTTTTTTGTATAAAACACGATGTTTTAAAAACTTTAAAACGCATTATGTATAACAGATAGTACAGAAATTCCCGGAATTAGCTATAGTTTCAATAATATTTATTAAATTTTCATAATGATATTACAAACACTCTATTAATGCGTAATATATACTCTTTACATTAAAAGAAAAGTCATTACAACTAAATACATCTTGACCAGCACATGCATACCTAAGCACGCATAGCAATGCGCAAATGACGCATTCTTTTGGTAATTTGTGTTGACATAAAAAACGCTCAAATGATTTCAAAGTATATGCCACTGTATGCAATACAAAGTTGATGCCTAGAATTCTTCTCAGTCGATAAATTGTTCTTATATACCATGGAAAGACCCTTTGTTGGTAAATCCCGGAAACTGCTCTCTGTAAATGTGCTAGCAACTCAAACCGAATCTGCAATTCTTATGTTATTTTGTTGTGATTAATGCTTCCGAGGGATCACTTTGTTTCCAGAATTTTCTATATGGCTCTTGAATATACATATATAATATAAAAATGCAAGTACATATAAAAACTTCCCTTCAAAACATCTCTTTGTATGGCGAATACAATCATTTTTAGAGTGTAATTATTTGTTTTTTAGAAAGGTTTCTAAACTGTCATCAAATGCTTCCATGAAAGGAACTTGTTTAGGTGAAAAAGTTCCGGTATACATAGACCGAAAGCAATGATTTCGGTAATTTTCAATTCCTTCCTCTCGGTGATCAAACCATAATTTAATGTATTCAATGATCTTCTCAAAGTCCACTGTTCGTCCTGTGCGTGAAACAAGATCTTTCATAACATCTGTCTGGAATTCTAAGACATCGTTATTTGTAATCAGCATGGACGCCCTGGCATGCATCTCTTTAGAGTCTTTCTCCATGTCTGTTTGTGATACCGGCTCATCAGGAAGCGTTTCCATTATGTATCTGCAAATAAAGACACACTTGGTGTTATGATTTGTCTTTGTTTAATGTTACAAGCTTTACTTTATCTAAGCTTTAATATAAAAAAATGAAAATAATTGCGTAAGTACGTACATTGTACCTGAAACAATAATTGATTTAAACCAACTCGACGTACATTGTGGTAACTCTATTTATTTTATGCTTTTCAGTGGATTACTGATTTATCCGTGAAAATTATATTTAATAATTTCACAGTGAAAATTATCAAAATATTATTTTACACTTTTCAATGACGAAACTACTTTTTTAAGATGTTCCCCATGTGGTACCTCAATTTTATTTTTGCTGACTATTCCGACAATGTCAGGCTGTTTATAAAAAGCAAAGCTGAATTTGATAAAAAAACATATATGTCAAAAGTAATAAAAAGAAGAAAAATAACAGTGAGTTACTTCTATTCATTCAAATTACCAATCACCAAATATCGTCTCTTTAATTTTTTGTTTCATTTTTACAGTCTGAAAAATACATTCCTTCCACATGCAAAACTGCTCTTGATGACATTTGGCAATATTTAAGTATCCTACGAGCAATAACTGCCGTATGTTTTATGAAAACTTGAAAAGCAATGGCAGCTTTCAGTCGAAGAAGATGTAAACAACCCAGCGTTCGTAAGGCTTCCAAGTTTTCCAATTTCCTATCCACTTTTTTGAATGTTTACACATCTGTCAACACTTATTTATTGTCTGTTACAATCCTCAAATAAGTTTTCTTTCTTTTAAAAAAGGTGTATGGCTAAGAAATCCATATCATATCCCTCTGAATCAAACACAATTATTTTCTTCCAGTGAAATACAAAACTTTAAAAATGGCAGCCGCTTACTTTTAACAAAGCCATGTCTAACATAAAGTCGCAGTCAGTAACAGAAATATGGATGGATGGTTGGACTTTTTCTCCTTATTGAACTGTTTGTTTTTATTATTTAAACAAATGATCAGACATATTTTTTAAATAAAATGAATACTATCACCAACATTTAACGTTGATTGTGGAACTTATTTTTCTGCCCATGACTTCTTGTATTTAATAAGAAATTCGACTTTTTGAAGCTCTCAATGGGGAAAACAGATTTTAATATTAACGTAAATATTAAGGAAATTTCGTTTTAACTTGTTTATAAGCATAAAATAAAAAGAAAATTTGTTTGTTTGTTGTGAAAGATGTAATTTTATTTCATCTCGTGAACTTTAAAACCAGTATTCTCACTCGTGTCTACGCCACTCGTGAGAATACTGTTTTAAAAAGCCCACTCGATGAAATAAAATTTCATCTTAGACACAAACAAACAAATATCCTCTATATATTCTCAAAACATTCCTTGTTACACATTGTAAATAAACTTTATTGTGCAACAACATATCTTCTTCATGAACTCGTTATGTCATAAACGTCCAAATGCAATACATGTAAACTTGCAATAAATGACAAAGTGACCCATACGGATGAAATTGTTCTGACTTTCAGTAGATGAAACAGTTATCTACACCGTGAATTTAGTATGAAACGAATTTAAATGAAAAAGATCTTGTAAGCATTGCAAATGTCTCCGATTTACCTGCATACCCAAATGGCTATATTCTCGAAAAGCGAGAGTGTGTACAACTGGTGTTGAGCACCTATATAAAACAATTTCCTGTTTCCAGCCTTCAGGAATAGCGACGATTTGTAAAGTCCTTCAGGATAGAAAGATGTCTCCTCGTCTATTCTCAACCGGCTTTCTAAGAACGGAAAACAATTCTTGTACCCAGTACAACAAATTACTACATCAACTTCTGCTTGTGTGTCATCTTTGAAAAACGCCTTTTTCTTTTTGAAGTTCTTCACCAATGGACGTTCTTCAATACCTGGCAACCATTTAAGACCAGTAGCTTTACTTCTGTAAGATATGATAATATGCGTTGCTCCAAATTTCAGACAGTGGATTGCCACATCTTCAGCAGAAAAGCTTGATCCTATAATCAAAACCCTCTGTCCTCTAAATTCATTAGCCTCTTTGAAATCATGCGAATGCATTATGCGGCCACTGAAATCTTCAAATCCGATGAAATAAGGCATGTTGGGAACATTGAAGATACCGTTACAGACAATCACGTGTGTAAACTCTTCTTCTTTCGTCTCTCGAATTTTAAGATTTTCAGTTATGACAAGAAAATTATCTTTGTCGTCTTGGAAACGAACATGTCTGACAACAGTGTTGAATCGTATATATCTTTTAAGATCATGCGTAGCTGCGTTTTGCCAGCGACTTGTTTTTTAAAAAAAAGTGTAATGTTAAATGTGATTTATATATTTTGTTATTCGTATCGTTGTCATGTGTATCAAAGTAACAAGATGGAGAATATATGAATTACCCAATTTATTTATTTGTAAAAAGAGAAATAAAATTGTTCCCCCTTTCAATACACTGTTTTAACATTATTTTAGCAAATGTTCCGTGAAAATTACTGTACAGACACAAACGTTTCATTTAATCATTTTAAAAAAGTCATACTCTTGAAATAACCCTATGAATGTGTACATGTCCCCACATGCCATACAGTCGACTCCACTTATAACGAAGTCGCTTATAACGAATTATCGTTAATAGCGAACTAAATCTGACATCCCCGACCTATTCTTTCCTTATTTTATATTAAATCACATCGCTTAATACGTACTCGCTTATAACGAATTTTCGGCTATAACGAACAATTTTTCAAGCCCCAAATGACGGATAACATGTAAATTTCCTAACAAACTGTTATAATTGACATATCGAAATGCGCTCGATTAGGATCAGTACATTAATAACGCTATCCGATAATTATACAATCGAATGATTGCACAGGTTAGTTATGGCTTCAGGGAATAAAGATTTTGATAAAATGTTCTTACAACATAATTTCCTTCTTGTTACGGAAAATTTGTATTTCGCACCCTCATTTGATTGCTGTTAATACCAAATAATTACAAAAAAATCAATTCTTTTTGTTTGCAATATTAACCAAACGATAATAAACAAATAGCAAAAGAATACTGTATAGACAAGTACAACATGAATAAATACATGTACCATGTACATAATATATTGTTTAATAAAATGCTCCGCATTAAATTACCATTTAATAACCGCTGCAGTAAAATACCGGTTACACCGGTAACAAGTGAAAAGTATGGCTTTTTTCACGGCAAATTTCCCTATCCAAACAAGTCAGCAATTTGTTGCTACTTCGCTTTTAGGGAACTTCAGATATAATGAACGATATTTTAATGTCCCATTGAGTTCGCTATAACAGGAGTCGACTGTATTATGATAATAGCATTTAAATTGAATAGACAGCCACTTCATCATAATTTTCGTACACCACTGTGCTGTTATTAGTTCTAAATAATTATTACCTTTTTCAGCGTCTGTATACATAAAATAGTAAGAAAAATACTTAATGAATTCAAATAAGAAAATGATATACATACCTTCCAAGTAATTCCTAACAACTGAGACCGGAGGGTAGGAGGAGATCGGTTGACCAAAATGTTGCTCAAACGTGTAGTCGGGATATTCTACAGATATTTCTTTTGGTGCATTTGTCCAGAGGTCTTTGTACATACTGCTATGACTAGGTTCTCCATACTCGTCGAGAGCTGAATTTCGTCAAGGTAAGATGAGTGTTTGCGGAGGAAAATAAACAACAAGATTGGTAAACACAAATCAACAGCTAATTGGTGCAATAATAATCTCATATTATACGTACGCATTCATTATTTTTGCAATACATACAGAGAGTAGCTTCATGCGTTATTTAAGGTGACAACGGAGTCAATTATCACTGAAAATACCTAAAATGAGATTTTTTGCTAAGCAGATTTATCAACCTTTTCTGAACACATTCGTAATTTAATTTTGGAAGCATTTAGTCCAAAAAATGTGTTTTTAAACGTTTTAAAACGGTACCTATACTATTCGTATCTGCTATTCGCGTAACCTGTCGATTATCCCCTGTTGAGGCATCAATGAGGGAAATCGGTAGTTCCATATATCAGTGAATTACAGGTCCATACTGGTCCATACTACTCGTAATACATGTATCGTACAACTACCGTACATCTTTTATGAATATCTCAACATTTAGCCTTTCTTATAGATTAAGAAATTGTCGACCGATGTACGTAACATAATGTATGAAACATAAATAATTAAGCATAGCGGCAAATCGCACGACCACGGGGTTGATTAAAAATGTAGTTGCTAAAATATCCATAATGTGTGAAAATAATTTTGTCTGTCCCGTTAATCTGATAGATATTACATTGAGTTGGGATTCAAGGGCTTACTTAACATTCAACCTCGTTTTCTAACAATGCCAAGTTAAACAACAACAAAAACAGACAACATTTTTTATGTGAACGCCTATATGACTTGTGGTAAGGTGTCCCTGACAAATTTCTAAACCATTTTAGATTGTCTAAGGATGATTATTTCTCTATGAATAAAAAAAAAAGATATTAAAATATATTCTCAGTGAAAATAAATTGTTCGCCAGTAAATCGGACACAGTCTAATAAATCTGGGACAAAGTATGAAATTAATTGTCTATCCCGGTAGAAACTGGATCTCTATGCCGTGCATAGATGATATTCATGATAATAGAAGTCAAGACGGCCAGATCATAATGATCGAGTAATACCTTTTATTTATATTAAAATATGTTAAGCATTATCAAGTTGGTGGAAAAAATATATAAAATCCCGTTCTTATTTGTTCATCTACCATGGACTTTAAAAGACTGTCAGAAGCTCAGTTTTTTTTTTTTTTTTTCATTTTATTTTATATTTTAACGGAATTTCATACACGAATACACAGGCAGAGTGACACTGGTATAATACAATAATAATGCTGATTATAATAATAATAAACTTCAAAAAGGAAACAATTAAATACCCCGCTAGCGGTGCGCAAATGCGTTCCATTTCCCCCCACTGAGTGCCTCAAATTTTACCGATAGTCACGTGACATGTGCGACAGGTACCAGACGGACAGTAAATCACGTTAAGAATTGAAGAAATTTCGGCTATAAACTGATATTAATCAGCAGCTTTTAAATTGGTCAGATGTCACGGCATGGGTCATAAAATGTTGTTAGAGAATGTTACCGCAACTTATGACCCTCTCTGGTGCGATATTTGTGTATTATACAATTATTTAGCGTGAAACGTAGGGGCCCGAGAGAGAACAGCCGATTTATGACACTTCGTTTGATGCGGGTTGGACTAACTTTGAATCGGCATAACTTTTTTAATAATCAAGCAATTAACATGCGGTTTAAAGCACATAAAAGGAAATTCATATACGGAGGGAACCCTGTCAGGGATTTTTGTTTGCTCAATCAGCGACATAATTATCTTTAATTATGTAATATGTATGGTGAAAAAAGTCGCATAAAATGTTACGTAAATATTTGTTTGAGAAAAGATAGAAAAAAATTGAGACACGGTTCCCAAGATAATATAAGTATGGTTATTTTCCAAAAGTTTGATGACAAAAAAAAATGACTTTGATATGATGATTTAAAATTTTAGGATTTTTATTCAAAATCAATCATTTACAAAGGCATTTTCTTCAAATATGTTATTTTTTGATGATCAACGACATTTAATGCACAAAGATTAAATAATTAACAATTATTACTAAAATAACTTGGTTTAAATGACATTTATGTGAGTACCACGGAAAGTGTCTGTTGTCACCTTAATTCATATAACAAGATAAAAAAAATTGTATCACAGGTAGGTCACCGTTTTCTTTTTGAGACTACGTAATAAGGTAATATTTGACAGATATAAGATAGACACGCTATGCTTAATTTGTATGAGAACATTTTAGTTTTCATTTGATTCTAAAGGAAGTCCAAATCTTAAATAATCAACTGGTGGAGGTGGTGGGGTTAGATGGGAAAAAAGAAAAGAAATATTCAATATGCAATTTTAGCACAATTCGATTTGAAAAGCGTTCAACGCTTTCGATCTTTAAGTCTTTTTGAATAATAGAAATAAAGTGTGCCCAAATTGTGAAGGGTCCCGGGCCTGTTCTTTTTGTGAAAATACCATTGTATTTTAAGGAATTTGTGAGGAAGAGATTTCAGGAAAGTCTTTTAGTACTATACTTTCCATTTCGCGACATGACTAGGCCCCTGGTATCTAGCAAAATATGCCCTGGGCTAGGTATTTGTATACCCATGATATCATATATCTTCATGTGAATTATTTCTAACCAACTTGCACAGAACTTAGAGTGTACAAGCACATCGTAGCTCCCATTCAAATATGATATTATCCAATCACTTTTTTTATTGTTGTGGCTATTTAAATGATCAAAATCATCATATTTTAGTTCAGAACTTGCTTTGAACATTTCCACGGGTCTTGATTTGCATCACAGAGACGCCCTTAAGATTGCCAAATTGGTAACAATATAGATTTTGTAAAATCCTAGAAATTGCCAAGTCCCACGGTCTTGAGTCTTGGTATATCAATGGTAGAATACTACATCAACGCGCACCTGCAAAATGCTTCAAAGCAGACTTTTTATCGACTCGAAGATAAATATTTATATTCTAAGAAATTTTTAGAAAATCAAAAATTATTGTAGCGCACCAAAGATTGGATTTAGAACTTGATATCATTAAAAAAAACGTTTTAAGTTTTACTGTCTGGTTTTAGCCTGAAAAGGGATGATTTTTGTTTGAGAGTCCGAGTGAGAGCTTTTAGGGAAAAACAACTTTATATAACTTTTTCATTATTTCAATCTTTTAAGTCGTACAAGTATTGATTTTCATGCACAAAACATGAAACTGGTGTAATTTTCGCAACTTATATAAAAGAGGAAACATAAAAATAATGTTTAATTAAGATTCGAACCTACAACATCCAAGTTGAAATTGAAAAGTCACGTCACTGAGGCTATTTTATGTCGCATTCAAAATTTATTTTAATTTTTAAGTACAAGAGTACCTGTCGCATTGAACTTTGACCTTGAAATATCATGAATATGACAAAATGACCTGTTTCTATATTAAATAAATTATGTATTTGCCTCTTGTCTAGAAACAATTTTGACCTTTGCCATCTAAGGCCTTAATGTTTCTCTTGCATGAAGTTTCAAAATTTTGACACGTTTATATTTTACTTTTTCATTGTTTTCGTAAATTTATCCATTTCGGAGGGGATATTACTACAATCTTAACAAATAGTTATGCAAGGCAATTAGCGTAAAGATATATACTTGCCATACTGAAACGTATCTATGGATTGTATTATAACATTACATATTATACATAAATTTCATATGCAAGTGTACATTTTCCCTTTTGGAAATGAATTAAATTGAATTAATTAAACATAACTTTAAAGTTGCATGCATTCAAATGAGCCACACTATTTCGAGAAAATCAAACTTTAGAAATTTGTACAAAATTTCAAGAAAGATAAAAAAGATTAAAGAGTAATAAGTAATAAAAAATATATTTCATTTGCGATTAATGACTGATATTGCCGTATTTATCATCATGTTTCTTCTGGGTAAATAACGCAGTAAAGGCTACTTTTGCATATTTTGATCTCTTTTTGTATTTATCGAGGTTTACAATGTGTAAATTACTCTCTTTGTTTTCATCACAATCTTTTATTTTCAACATTTTCGTAAAATTGAAACTTTGTCTGTATGCATGCTGCTTTAATCTTACATTCAATATTAAAACTGGTAAAATAGTATGACATACATTTCTGTTTCGAGTTCACGGTGCCACTCAGATTTCTTGCTTTTTTTTAAACGAACAACGATATAAAATATGTTAACACACAAACAGAGACGGTTATCTTACAGACGTTCCTGATTTTTTTAATTCTGAACTCTTATATGATTAATGATAAATGTATACTTTACGTAATTTCAGAATTTCTTTTTTCTTATACCTTATTTTGTCATTATTTTCTATGTGGAAAAACATTGTTGTTGTTGTTGCTGTTATTATTATCAATACAATTCAGGCAAATTAAATAATTCATAAAACTAACAAAGCATTTTGTCCCTAACATGTAAATTCTATGCATCATCAAACGTAATTCAATAACATTTTACAATAGCTTCCTTACCTGTTCTCCACGTAAAATTCCACTGTCCACCCCACGTGCTTTGCTTCTCTTAACAGACAACATCGGGCATTTTATCGAGCTTTGCAAACTGGAATAACGCCGACATTCCCGACGGCCCGGCGCCAATAATGCACACCTTTTTCGATGTCATATTTCTAAATTCTACTAACAGACAAAAAGTTAGATGCAAAACTTTAATTCACTTGTGTAATACAAGTATACAATATAAAGATATGCACAATGTTTCAGTATAAATACAGTCCAAAACAAACAAAAAATATCTAAACATGTTTATTTACTTGGGCAACTCCAATGCAAAGGGGAAGCTACATTTCAATGGTAAAAATATAATATCATTGGTAGAGATTTTACATATTCCTCGTGTCATTTGATATCTTTGTGCTTAAATTTTATCGTGTTTTATGTCTTCATTCTTATTATTTTACATAATACATGTACTGTATATAATATTTATTATAACATATCATCATATATTGATAATGAATACCATTGAAATATATAACATCGACTTTGTCCTCCCTTATTTCCAGGTTAGTCCATTTTCTTTTTTTATCATAAGCACGTGTTTCAATTTATTGCAATCTATAATTTATTATTAGCACGTGTTGTAATTTATTACAAACTATAAATCGGATATAGAGTGGATAGAGGTATATCATGATCATAAATAAGCAGATTGTTGTTTTACAAATGTAAACATATATGTATAGTGTGGGGATTAACAAATATATGCTTATCCAAAAAAAGGTTGATGCCTTTTGATTTTCATCATCATCATCATCATTTAAACTTAAATTTAGAGTAAACTATAAAAACCAAAGCGTGTTTAATTTTAAACAAAAATATATCATTTTTATCTGATCATAAATTAAACATGTTTTCACCATTGACTCGTGATATGTCATAAATTACAATCATGTGCTACGTTAATATAAAGTCAATAGTAATGCCATGAAGCAGTCAGGAGATCTATGACGTGACATTTTGAAATATCATAAATGAAAGTACACAAATGTATATGCATGTGTGCAGTTTGTAATAACATAACCTTTATCGTTTTATGATTGCAGTGAAGCATGAACAATTCACACTTACAGAAATTGTCGGCTTTTTTCGGTCTTTCTATTTATTACCCGTCGGATTTTGTATCGGTTTACTATGGTGGCTGATGGTGGCTATATCTATATATGGCAACATCGCAACAACGTACAACACGACAAAGCACCGTTTGGCGTGCTTCGTGACAGGACGACAAGATAACAGTGCGACAACGCACCGTTTGGCGAGTTTTCCTAGCGACAAGAAGACAAGATGAAAAGGCAATGATAATAAAGGTTGTGTTGTCGCTATCGACAACGCATCGCGCAAAGTGTACCAAATCAGCCACCATAGTTAATGTTGACACCAACGAAAACTTCATGAATTGTCAGTAGCGTAAACTTCCATGGGTATGGAGGGTGATTTATGCCAAAATTACATATTGCTTTCTTACGTTACATCGTGCTTTCTAACTTGTACATCGTGCTTTCTTATTTGTACATTATGCATTCTGACATATACATCTTGCATTCTGACTTTTACATGTTGCTTTCTTACATGCACATTATGCTTTCTGCTGTGTGCGACTTGCTTAATTTTATGTTGATGTCGTTTTTTAACGATCAATTATTTATATTCTTTTGTTGATCTGGTATGTTTATTCAATAAATTAACCTGCAACTGTTTGTATTTGGGTCTATTTACACAGCTTGAATGACGAATGTCATAAGGTAGAATGCGCATAGCCGAAAGCCGAATGCAGCAAGCATAATACAACGCGACATCTGGTGTAATAATATGTGACACCCAAATTATGGTAACAGGTGGCGCTACAGTTATATTCTCGGTAAAGTCCGTATTGCGGTTCGGATTCAATTTACCAAGTTACGTCCCTTTGTTTTAAAATTTCCATTTGCAATACGGACTTTACCGAGAATATAACTGTAGCGCCACCTGTTAGCATAATTTGGGTGTCACATATTATTACACCAGATGTCGCGTTGTATTATGCTTGCTGCATTCGGCTTTCGGCCTTATGACATTCGTCATTCAAGCTGAGTAAATAGACCCAAATACAAACAGTTGCAGGTTAATTTATTGAATTAATATACCAGATCAACAAAAGAATAATAATTGATCGTTAAAAAACGACGTCAACATAAAATTAAGCAAGTCGCACACAGCAGAAAGCATAATGTGCATGTAAGAAAGCAACATGTAAAAGTCAGAATGCAAGATGTATATGTCAGAATGCATAATGTACAAGTTAGAAAGCACGATGTACAAGTTAGAAAGCACGATGTAACGTAAGAAAGCAAGATATAAGTTTGGCATAAATCACCCTCCATACATGGGTATCAGAAGTTATACATATGTTTCTTTACACGAATTAGCACATTTTTTTGTTGTTTGATGCTTTCTTTCTACAGGTACATAGTTATAAAGACGGTAGTTAGTGTATAATACTAAACTTTGGGGGATAAAAGAAAGTCATAGTTAATTTTCACTCATTAGTCATTTCCAATCTTTCTAGTAAGATAATTCTGACTTTTTTGTGTTATATGTGTTACTGACGGGATATTTTGTACTTACATTTATAGCATGTCAGTTACCAACATCATTAACATAATGTACTTGGTTTAGAAATTTAAAGTTTTGAATTTAAGGTCTGGTAACGCTTAATCGATAGAATATTTTAAACAGACGAATGTATTGTATGTATTACATAAACAACGGTGCATATGTGAAATAGAGAAGATGCGATAACACTCCACAGCCTACAAATTAGGCCAACTTTAATGCATATGATATGCACTGTCAAACAAACGAGCTTAAATAACTGAGTTTAAACAGCTTTTACAATCGGCGACACAAACATTGAAAGTGAAATATGGATAAAAAGATCTGTATAATTGGTGCTGGACCTTGCGGAATGGCAACATTGTTTCATTTTTCAAAATTAAAACAAATGCCTGATGTCGTTTGTTATGAGAAACAGCGAACTTGGGGAGGATTATGGAATTTCTCTTGGAGAACAGGTACAGTGTGAATAGTGAAAATGATTAAACAAGTTCAATTATGTTATACCAGCATAATATATTTTTGTCAATAAGTTCAATAAATTAGGTATTGCATCTACAGGATTATATAATCTTTTTATCATATATTTGAAACAAATAAGAACGGTTTACAGGTAAATAAGGAATATCATGATGTAGTAGCTTTCTGAAACTTTGTATTTTGGTACGAGCAGCGTGGACAATTTATATCTCGCGTGCGATGGTCGAGTGAAATATCAATTTTCCAATATTGCGAGTAGTTAAATGCATAGCCTCAGAAAGCTATTTATTATATACCTTTTCGGTTGAAGTAAAATGATTTTCATTATATTTCACTTCTATAAGAAATCTTAGAAAATGAAAAGTAGCTGTCAAGAAATAAATTTATGACTGGCGGATGAATACGTAATATTTGAAAAACCGGCCACGCCTTTTTTAATTTTGGTTCGTTCCCGTGTCCAAATGCTACGTTATACACAGCTAAGGTCGGAGCCAGCGTCAAAAATAGCCCGGCACTTCCATATATGGAACCGTATTTGTAACTAACATAATACGGAATTTTCTTTCCGTTGAAACATATTTGCGTTTCAAGATTTGCGTGTATGTTAGGAAGAATATTTATAAGTTTATAATAAAAAAGAGTTATTTATCGTTGACGCGCTTATAGATTAACGCTTACATTAGCGCGGTTTAACGCTTTTTGTGTATGTGTATAACGCAAATGACGTCACGACAAAATTTTAAATTACAATAATATTATATCGTATTTATCATATGGTTTTTCATTTTTTCCTAGATATTTATATATTATGAAATATGTCATAAAGAACAAAACGCAGTACATTTAATAATTTGTACTAACTTTTATATACACACATAATCAAACTTCAACTCTAAATAAATACAATGTTACTTGTGCGTGCTTGGGGGGCGTCCGTGGCCAAGTGGTTAAGGTCGTTGACTTCGAATCACTTGCCCCTCACCGCTGTGGGTTCGAATCCCGACAGGGACTTTGAATTCTTTCATGTGAGGAAGCTATCCAGCTAGCTTACGGAACGTCGGTGGTTCTACTCAGGTGCCTGTTCGTGCCTGAAATAATGCACGAAAGGGCACCTGAGGTCTTCCTCCACCAATAAAGCTGGAACGTCGCGATATGACCTATACAGTGTCGATGTGACGTAAAACCCAAAACAAACAAACAAACAAACCGGTGCGTGCTTGTTCTTCATTATATATATATATCATATCAGGAATAGATGAGCACGGAGAACCTTGTCCAAATGGAATGTATAAGAACCTATGGAGCAATACAATAAAGGAGATGATGGAATTTCCGGATTATACATTTGAAACACATTTTGGTAAAACAACGCCTTCATACATGCCTAGGAGTGCCATGAGGGACTATTTGGAAGGTCAGTAATGATAACACACTTTGAGGATGTTTATGTTGTATTAGTGCTATTAACGTAAGATCTGACATTTAAACCGCTCGGCTAAAAGAGAAATCAGTATATATCAGTATGCGATTTTATTACAATTTAGCATTGCGTCGTTCGGATGTCATTATGAATGTAGATATAAATTTCTTTATTTCTGACAGGTCACTGGACAAAAGGTGCATGCACAAATCTAAAGAAGTTTATCGAATTTAACACTGCAGTGAGATATGTTAAATTTAATGATGATGAGAACAATTTTATCGTCACAGTAAATGACCATAACACTGGCGAGACAAGAGAAGAAATATTTTCACATGTTGTCGTTGCAACTGGAATTTTCAACACTCCAAATACACCAGAAATCAAAGGTATTGGTGAGTTTCACGGTCGTATTCTACACGCCCATGATTTCCGCGATGCGCGAGAGTTTACAGGTAAAAGAGTTCTGCTCATAGGAGCTGGATATTCTGGTGAGGATCTTGCTCTTCAGTTGCTTAAATATAATACAGAACGGGTTATTTTATCTCACAGAACTAACCCAAAAAGTTCCACATGTTTTATGCCAGATGGCATCGAAGAAAGACCGCAGGTTGATAGGTTTGATACAACAAAAGTCCATTTCATTGACAAAACATTTGCTGATATTGATGCTGTCATATTCTGTACAGGTTACATTAATCACTTTCCTTTCCTTGAAAGTAGATTTCGGATAGATGAGAAAACGCATTTTTACCCGGCAGGATTATACAAGGCTGCTTTGTACATTAAAGCTGGAAACAATAAATTGTTCTACGTTGGAGTACAAGATCAGTTTTACTCATTTCATCTTTTTGAAGTCCTTACAAATTGGACTGTTAAGTAAGTTGTTTTTTTTCAATCCTTACACGATATAGTTTGCTTTCACTTTAATCTTAATACATAAGTGTACAATGAAGATGATACTAGCTAATCAGTCAAAACAGTTGTATCATAAATACGGATTTGTTAGTTTGAACTTCTAAACATCCCTGTTAATTCTATCAAAAGATGAATGTGGTTTATTTCAGATATATAATGGGTCAGCTTGAAGAAGAGCCAAGGTCTAAAGAAGAGATGGAAACTGATGCTAAAGATTGGCACTCGCGATGCGAAGCAATTAGAAGTGAAAATGATATGCTTGAAGTTCAGTCTGACCTTGTTGACCATTTAGCTAATCTCGGAGGATATACAAAAGATATCATGAAAACTGTGCCATATTTCCGAGGATGGATCCAAGATAGAAAAGAAAAAGATACAGGCCTTGCGAATTACAGAGATATGTGTTATGCAAATATCCACAGTGGAATAATGGCGCCAAAGCAAACACCGTTTATGGAGAATTACGATGATAGCATTGAGGCGTACTTGAAGTTTGGTGTTTAGACATTTGTATATACTTATCTAAAACTTGCTTCTTTTCGCATGTATTTTCCTGTGTGCTTATTTTTCATTGTATATTTCAATGTTCATTTTCAGTTTGTTTAAAGCGACTTTCGACAAAAAGCATACATAATTATGTAGAGTAAAACATTACGTTACCAAATGTAAGCTTTCAATCATCAGTTAACCAGCACTTGGTAAATATGTTTTACAAATTTATGAATTTAAAAGCACATAACTTTTAAATTATTACTTGAATCTTTTAACTTTTATTAAAATCTCTGTAAATGTTTCTCAAGTTTATGTTTTTTTTTTTTTTTTTTTTTTTTTTTGGCTGATCTGAAGGCATGCAGTTTAAAGAAAGTTTACGCAAATGTCTAAACGCTTCTTCATTTTTTAAACGTGTTTCATTACTTTACAATGTTTCATTTCGCTTTCGCAAACTGGTTAACGATGTTTATTTCAATATTTGTTTGCAATAACTCTTTAAACTAAATAATCTCAAGACTATCAATTCAAAATTAGGATATTTTTATATACATATATGAAACATATTGTGAAGTACATGCATCTTCATTCCATGTGAAGTATTTTTGAGTGGTAAGATCAATCCTAGCTGATTATTGGGCCAGACAAGCGTAATTTCAAATATTTATCCAAAAAAAGGATAAATATCTAAATGTCATATATACTTTCTGGACAAAAGAAAGTGAACGTCAAGCTAAATATATATAAAATATGTTGGCATCATTGAAAAGCTAATGCAAAATTAATTGTTGGACACAGTTGTCTTCAATTAAGTGGTAATGTATATACTTCTTTTTGTGTTTTCTTCTCTTTGTTTTCTTTCTTTAAAATTTACTTAATATATACAAATGTTTAGTCTTTTTTCTCTGCAAGTGCGAATATTGTAACAAACTTTATGTATAATGTTTTTATTTGTAGAGACATACACACAAGATAGAAAATTAGTACATGCATATTCAATATGAATACCAAACACATGACAAGCAGTGAACTATATATTATCTAAATAATAGGAAATAAGAACTTATATAAAACATATTGCTTTTTTTTAAATATGGGTTAAAATTATATAATATGGGGAAATCATTTACATGTTAATGCTATTTTTTTTGCTGTTTTTAACAAAAAAGGGCTTCATAATCATTTTTTTTAGATTTCCAAATAAATAAATTTTAATTTTTTTTTAAAAAAAGTTTTTCCAGACGTCATAAATGCTTTCAAAAAGGGGGAAATTTTTTAGGTGACAGTGTCCCCGTGTACATTGACCTAAACCGATGGCTTCGGTAATCCTCAATTCCTTCTTCACGGTGTTGAAACCATAATTTCACATACTCGACAGCCTTCTCAAAGTCCACTGTTAGTCCTGTGCGAGAAGCGAGGTCTTTCATAATTTCTGTCTGGAACTCTAAGACATCATAATGGGATGACAGCATGGACGCCCGGGCATGCATCTCTTTAGAGTCTTTCTCCATGTCTGTTTGTGATACCGGCTCACCAGGAAGCGTTTCCATTATGTATCTGCAAATAAAGACAAACTGACTTTTTTATGATAACATTCTGTTTTTAAATAAAAATGTATGCGTAATTTAATCTTGTAAGCGTATCTTTAAATGAAAAAAGTAAATGATTGTTCCACGAATGAAGTACATTTTTACTTTTAGTAAGTAAATAGTGTCTGTAGCAATGCTGACATATATATCTTTAAAACCTCATTTGACTTATGATATTTGTATAACAATATAATAAGAATATTCGATAAATTTTGCCCAAATAAATCAAGTGCAATCGTTATTCTAATGGAAGAAATGCTGAAACAATTTAGAAATTCTATAATACATCATGCAAATATATCAGAAGATTTTATACATCTACCTGCATACCCAAATGGCTATATTCTCGAAAAGCGAGAATGTGTACAATTGTTCTTGGGCACCTATATAAAACAATTTACTGTTTCCAGCCTTCAGGAAAAGCGACGATTTGTAAAGTCCTTCAGGATAGAAGGATGTCTCCTCGTCTACTCTCAACCGGCTTTCCAAAAATGGAAAGCAATTCTTGTACCCAGTACAACAAATTACTACATCAACTTCTGCTTGTGTGTCATCTTTGAAAAACGCCTGTTTCTTTTTGAAGTTCTTCACCAATGGACGTTCTTCGATACCTGGCAACCATTTAAGACCAGTAGGTTTACTTCTGTAAGATATGATAATATGCTTTGCTCCAAATTTCAAACAGTGGATTGCCACATCTTCAGCTGAATAGCTTGACCCTATGACCAGAATCCTTTGTCCTCTAAATTCATTAGCCTCTTTGAAATCATGTGAATGCAGTATGCGACCACTAAAATCTTCGAATCCGGTGAAATAAGGCATGTTCGGAACATTAAAGATACCGTTACAGACAATCACGTGTGTAAACTCTTCTTCATTGCTCTTTCGTGTCTTTAGATTTTCAGTTATGACAAGAAAATTATCTTTGTCGTCTTGGAAACGAACATGTCTGACAACAGTGTTGAATCTTACATATCTTTTAAGATCATGCTTTCCTGCGTTCTTCCAGTGACCTGTTTTCAAAACAAAAGCAATAGAAAAATACATTTATAATTGTTCACATGAGAAGAGTTGCAATATACATTAATAAATAAAAGGTTTGAGAATAGATGAGCGTATCGGTTAATCAGTTAAAAAGGTTGCTTTAATGATTAGAAAATAATATCATATTGATGGCTCATGAACTTTGAAACATTTTAAAATCGAATTTTAATCTAAAATTAATAGCATATTATTTGTTATATCCAGACGATATAGTCTGCAGGGACAAGATTTAATTACCTGCGCATTTCTTATAAGTCTTTTTCATTAAAATCATCTAAGGGATAGAGAAGATGTAAATTAATATATTTTTTGGATTAAGCATGAAACCATTCAAGCAACCATTGTTGTCAACGACCACCTGAAGAGCATTCATGCAGAGGTTCATTAATTAATATGAAGCATGGTTGAAGAGGGTTGTTCCTGTAAGCTTATTTCGATTTTAAATCTGGCCGCCATCTTGTTAGCATACTAAAAGTATTTGAGCAATTTGGTAAAGGACCGCCAAATTATCATTTCTGTAGAGTTCATCTAGTCTTCTACACATTGTTTCATCCCATATATCTAAGCTAGACTTAATTGTTCAAAGGAGATGATTTTAAAGACTATACTATAAAAATATACAGAAAACGCATGACCCCATTGGGCAGGGCTAATTTCAACCGCAGGGTTATTATTTGAACAAGCTTGGAAGAAGTCCACTGGATGATGTTTCATGCCATTTATCTCAGTCATCAGAGATGATTTGAAAGATTTCGATGTATTCACATTAGGTATACTAATGACACCAAGGACAGGGCCTTTTTTACTCATGCCATGCCAAATATCTAAGCTTCAGGCTTTATGGTTTAAAAGGAGATTGTTTTAAAAACTTCACAATATACATATAATGGAAATCCATGACCACCAAGTCAGTGCGATTTTTGACCTCAGTGTTTTCCTATCAATGAGTTTTCATGTCAAATATTTATAGTCTTATCTTAGGAGGAGATAGTTTTTAAAGAATTTACTATAAACATATAGGAAAACCTCATGACCCCTATGGGTGGAGCCAATTTTTACCCAGTGGCTTTTATTTGAACAAACATGGTAGAGGTCTACTGTCAAATATCTAAGCTATAGCATTTATAGCTTCAGAAATGCATGTAATGGTTTTTAACAACTTTAAAATATTACCAAAGGATCAATCCTAGAAAGTTTGATGTTATTGACCTTGCGGTAAAGGAGATTATGTTGTTTAAAGAAATGTGGACGAACGGACGGACGATCTGACAGACGGCGAGTGATGACAATAGCTTACCCTTAGCATCTAGTGCTCGAGTGAGCTAAAATATATGACGTCCGACAGATAAATGTGCTGTTATAGGTTCACAATGATTTCATTTTTCAGCTCACAGTAAACATAAAAAGAAAAAAAAATTTTTATGGCATACAAATTTAGTTATTCAACTTAGAAAATGAAAAAATGTATATTTACCTTCCATATAATCTCTTACAACTGAGACCGGAGGGTAGGAGGATATCGGTTTACGAAAATGGTTCTCAAACGTGTAGTCCGGATATTCGAGGCTGATTTCTTTTGGCGCATTTATCCAGAGGTCTTTGTACATACTGCTATGACATGGTTCTCCGTATTCGTCGAGAGCTGAATTTCATAATAGGAAAAAGATGGACAATTAATGATTGACAATTCCCTTAATTAGTTGAGATGGCAACTTTTTATGAGAATGATTAATAATTCTTCTGTCATGAGCTATATTCCACAGAAACAGTTTGTCAATTAGCGGTATTTTGAAATTCCTGTTAATATGTTGAAATGGCAAACTTTTGTGAGAATAAATCATAATATTAAAAAATACCGAAAATAAGCTATTTTCGCCGAATAAGATCGGGGCTATGAAAGTAAGATTTATTTTAATATTAACAGTATATCAAAAACGTATTTATTTAGTTATTTAAAGATTTGTATGACTAATATTTTAAAGAATGATATTTTTTGTAATGAAATATTAGACGTTTATGCATACCCAAAATAGTATAGAAATAACGCACGCGAAAATAACCTAAGATGGCCACTACAAAAACAAAATTTACATGGTTCATACCTTATATTAAAATGTTGTTTTTTTTAATAGTTATTTGTGTAAATAACATTATAAGAATCAAATTTTCTTTTATAAGACAATTAAAGTTTGTGGTGAATAAAAAATCAGAACGAAAATAATTTCGGTCGGTAAGATCTGTACGAAAATAAAATCTACGATATATAAAAATAATGCAGGTATGAAAATAAATCTCTGTACCCCCTAAAATAAGACGTATATGGAGACATGAATGATACGAAAATAAGGTCTATACTAAAATAGTACATGTATGAAAAAATTAACTATATGAAAATATAATGCACACGAAAATAATATATATACATATTTCATAATAAGATTAATAATACGAAAATATTTAAGATGACCGTATGATGAACTATACGAATATAAGATCTGTATGAAAATAACATATTCGAAATTAAGAGATAAACAAAAAATAGTATGCATAAAAATATCTATATGAACAAATACTATATCAATATTTAACATTATTGCTTTGGAAGATCATGTGCGCATGCTCGAAAATGGCGGACTTATTTTTTCAAATGTTTGCGATAGTTAGAAAAATCGGTGATTAGAACATATATATGGATATATAAATGTCTCTACAATGAATTAATACATTATTGGCATCTTAATTTATATCTGTTTCATATATAATACGGACTTTTATTGTTTTCTAATGACAAGAAAACGTAAAAAAGGACAATATTTTCTCCGTTGAAACGATAACAAAGAAAAAAAGAGAAAGATGGCGGCAAACACTCAACAAAACTTTCAGTCTCCAAATCTTCAACAAGCAGCTTCTCCAGCACAGGTTGGTCAATATGGTATCGGTCAGTCTTTTATGCTGCCGCCTCTGTATATCATCCATCATCCCCTTTCGTAACAAATCAAACATCACCTATATTATCTCAGCAAAATGTAAACAATTTAAATACGGACATTTTACAGGGATTATACAACGTTTTGGACAGTATGGACGCTAAACTTGGCCAATTGAATAAAATTCAATCAACTGTCGAGAAAATAACGGAACGCTTAAACAGCCTTGATCAAAAGTTCAACGAGATTGAACGTAGTCACGCTTTTATAAGCGAACAGTAATGATAGTGTTGTAACGGCACGTTCTATCGAAAATAAAGGCGATATTTCTCAATTACGTAGTGATGTCAAATTTCTGACTGCTGAGAATGAAAAATTAAAGTCGGCAAACGATTCATGTAACGAAAATATTATTGATTTGAAATGTCGCTCTATGCGAGATAATCTCCTGTTCTTCGGAGTTGCCGAGGGGTACTACGTTCAATCCCGCTCCTCTTGGCGGTGTTCAATCAACCGTGACGGATTCTACGGGGTTCACTGACAACACTTCTACTAACCAGACTTCTACAATCTCGACGTCTGATGATTTCCATGAACCTGCTGGACATGGTAGTATTAGTGCACCAGCTTTGTTTTTTCTTCTGTCGTAAAAAGTGATCATGAAAATTTTGTTGATAAGGTTTCACTTTCTTGACAAAATCCTGCGCATTAATGATCCTCGTTCTAAGATTAACATAATACGTGCACATAGAGTGGGGAAATTTATTATCAGGCAAAACTAGGCCCATCGTTGCAAAATTTGATTCAGAATCAAAATCTTTGATTAAAGAGTCACTTAAACATGTTAAATTACAGCATACAGATTACAATGTAGCAGATCAGTATCCACCGGAAGTGAAAGACCGCCGGAAGCAACTTATACCAGTGATGATTGATGCTAGGAAACAGGGAAAACGCGCGTTCTTGTCAGGGGATAAAACTTTATATTGATAATGAATTATATGGTTCTAAATAGGGGGACAGAGAAAAGTGTGACAATTTGAAAATAATTTCATGGAAATGTGGGAGGATTAAATTCTTGCGTAGATGATGAAGATTTTTAGACTTGGTCCAAAATTTTGATATCATTTTTTCTTAGTGAAACATGGCAAAAGAATGTTGAAGTTTTTTCTTTGAAAGGATATGATTCTGTTATGTTCCCAGACCTGAAAGTATTAAATCTAAACGCGGACACGGTGGAATTTGCCTACTATTTAAAGAGCGATTGAATAACGGTATTTCTATTGTAGAATGTGATAACACTGGTTTTATATGGGTCAAACTTGATAAAACATTTTTTGGTTTTGAGTATGATTTATATATATGTTTTTTATATATCCCTCCTAGCAATTCTGTGTTATTTTATGTCACATGAAGTAGGGTTTTTTTGAATCACTTGAACATTATATTCGTAAATATAGTGAATATGGAAAAGTGTCAGTAATGGCGACCTTAATGCTAGATGTGGTGAAAGGTCTGATATTTTAGAATGTACTGATAATTTTGATAAGTATATTTCAACTTTAGATAAAAATGAATCGGAAGTTAGCATAAATGATATTCTTATAGATTTTCTATGGATAAAATGATTAATTGCTCTGGTAAGAAGATATTAGATATTTGTGTAAGCAGCGACTTAAAAATTGTGAATGGCCGTATTGGTGATGATGCAGGTGTTGGTAGTTATACTTTTATGTCGTCAACTGGAAATAGCATGATTGATTACGTTCTTATGTCGCAAGATTTTTTTCCACGTTATAAGTGATTTTATTGTACATGATTTATATACCTGCTCTAGTCATTTACCTATACAGCTTAACCTATGTTGTAACAGTGATCTAACATTGAATAATGTAAAACAAAATAAATATTGATAAAATTATTTGGAATGATGATAGAAGCTATGAATATAAATCTTTGATAGAAAATGAATATACAAATCTTGAGTCAATCGTAAAATAGCATAATTTCAGATGATACCGATATTAATACGGGTGTAGATAAATTTTTCATCTATTCTTTATGAAAAAGCCTATAGCGTTTTTGGAAGGTCATTTAATGTGTCTAGGTCAAATAACCGTAAGTTTAAGAGTCCTTGGTACACGAAGGAATGTGAAACGGCTAGACGTGAGCTTCGCTCAATAAATAAGCATTATAAAAACAATAGAACCAATTGTAACGGTGCACTGCTCATTGAAAAGCGTCGTAAATATCGATTGGCTAAGCGCAAGGCACGTGCTACATTTAAGGCCAACCAAAAACAACAATTAACATACTTTGGCTTCTACTCAGCCCCAAAAGTTTTGGAAAGAAAATTAAAAAATTTAAATCAAAAACGCCAAAAGGGAGTAATATTAGTAAAGACGAATTTTACAATCATTTTCAAAAATGTTTTTCTGATGACAACGAATTTATAAATGATGATGCTGAAAATTTATTAAACAGTGATGTTAATATCAATGTTGAACAACTTGATATTTTGTTTAGCCTTGATGAAGTATTGAAAGCTCTAAATATGTTAAAGAGTGGTAAAAGCGGTGGAATAGATTGTTTAATCCCGAGATGTTTGTTGAGTGTAAAGATATTATTGCACCGTTATTATGTAAACTAATTTAATTTTATGTTTACTCATTGTATTTACCCAGATAGTTGGACTAAAGGTGTTATTGTTCCTGTCCCCAAAAAAAAAGGTAACCTTAATAATGTCAATAATTATAGAGAAATAACATTAAGTTATTTTTTCAAAATCTTTTCAACTTTATTAGATTTAAGACTCCGAAAATGGGCCGAGGACAATAATATGTTAAGTGATTTTCAATTTGGATTTCGAAAAGATAAAAGTACCATTGACTGTATTTTTGTTTTTAACTTCAATCATAGATAAAGTTATTTTCGCATGATAAAAAGAAGCTATATTTAGCATTTGTCGATTTCAGAAAAAGCCTTTGATGTAGTTTACAGGAACGGAATCTGGTTTAAATTATTATCTTATGGAGCTTCCACAAAGTTTGTCAATATGTTACAGAAAATATATGAAAGTGTTAAATCTTGTGTACGTGTAAATGGACAGCTAAGTGATAATTTTGAGAGCTTTAAGGGGCGTTAAACAAGCGCGAACCATTATCCCCTCTGTTGTTTTTATTTTTTATAAATGATATGTATCAATATTTATATGACGACTCTATTGACTCGTTCACTATGGACGAATTACATCTCTTTTTACTTCTTTTTTGCGGATGACACGGTGTTAATATCTATTCCAAAGAAGGGTTACAAAAACTTCTAAATAATTTACATTCTTATTGTTGCGAATTGGGGTATCAGTGTTTAATATTGATAAAACCGTAGTGATGATATGTAAAGAAAGGCTAATAGACCTGAAATATTTGATATATTTTATGATAATCATAGACTTAAAATTGTTACTAATTTACTTATTTAGGTGTTACTCTGTCTGCTAATGGAAGTTTTTTTCCAGGCAAAAAGTCATTGTCTGGACAAGCTATGAAAGCTCTGTTTTCGCTTAACATTCACTATTTGAAACTGTATCACTAGACATTAAAAGACAAAATTAAGTTTTTTTGATTCCATGATCACTTCGATTCTGAATTATGGATGTGAAATTTGGGGTTTACATAAGGCACCCGATATAGAAAAAATTCATTTAAAATTTTTAAAAAAACGTTTTAAAAAGTTCGTCAACAAGACTGCAGTTCTGCGATTTACGGTGAATTTGGACGAGTTCCGATGATTATATGTCGTAAAATCAGAATGATAAAATATTGGTTCAGAATTATGAAAACCCCGAATTCTTTAGTTTTTAAAGTATTTAATATGCGTGATGATCATGGAAATATTAGTTAACAATTGGTCTGTAAGTGTTAAACAATTATTAGATAATTTAGGATACTCTTATTTATGGATAATACAGAAATCACTAACTTACAAATTCAAACAGTAATAAGAACTATTTATGACCAATATCTACAGCAATGGTTTTCAGAGCTCAAAGAATCTCCTAAACTTGATACCTACTGTTTATTTAAATCCAGTTTTGAATTAGAAAAATATTTAAGTTGTGTTAAATATGATAGCTATAGAATTGCTTTGTCTAGATTCCGGTGTTCTGCTCATAATTTAGCTATAGAAGAAGGGAGATATAGAAACATTAATAGAAGTCAAAGAATATGCACGAAATGTAATATGAATAGTATAGAAAATGAGTATCATTTCCTCTTAGTATGTCCTTTTTACAGACAGATTAGACTTAATATTTTACCTAGTTATTATTGTCATTGGCCAAATTTTGTTTAAATTCAAAATCTCTTTTTAAATTGCCAACAAAGTAAATACTATTAATAAACTTGCAAAATACGTTTTACAATGCTAATCTCTGGCGCGAAAACTATCAGGCATGATATGACTGTGTAATGTTGGATTTATTTTATGTATGTTATAGATCATATATAGTATCTCTTTGTTTTGTTATTGTAAGAATTCGATTGATTTAATTAATATGACTTCATGCTTTTCTCTTTGTATTTGTACCGCCATTGTGTATATGTTATATTGGCGATGAACATTTATATGTTTTTGCCGAATAAAATATTGAATTGAATTGAATTTAATTAGACAATGCAAGGACAACGTGTTTCTATTTGAAAGGCGGTATTAATGGGGCAACACGTGCACGCGTATAAAACGTGCACGTGATTATCGGTAGCAATCAATGCATTCATACGATGATTGCATGATTGGATTATCGTACTTATCGTATGATAAAACAGAAATATAATATACTAATTTTGGACAATTATTTGAAGCACCAACATAAAATGTTATTTTCTTAATCGTAAACTTATTTTCGTGCAAGCAAATGTGTTCCTTACTTGTCATGCATTCTCTCGTATGATAAATACACTTTATCTTTTATTGAATTTCACCCAATCTTCATATTTAGATCTAGCTATGAACATTATGCAACGATAAGCTCGAGGCAAATAAATTGCCGAACGAATAAAACATTGATAAACATTCAATTTGTCATGATTTTATATCTTTTTTTGAAACTGCATTAAAATTTTCTATTTAGAGTTATTAGTTAATAATTTCGTCACGTAGACATTTCACCGTCTAAAGATGATAAGTTCAATATTTCGAGAGATATGATTATAATAATAACGTACATTTAAAATCCGAAACAAAATTCTCTGTAATTAAAGTTAGCCTTTGTTTCTTAAATTTTGACAATTATTGTAACAAAACATATTACAAATAAACATAAATGTAGTATTTATAGATCAATTAAGTATATTTTTTTTAGTTTTCATCTAAAAATCCGCCTGACATTTTCAATAATGCGACATGAAGTTTTGTACTTCGAGGCATAACTTTGTTCATGTGCTTTGAAGCTAACCAAATGTTAAATTGACATGACGGGAAATAATTTTTTTTTTCGATATAAATAATATGTTTCATTATAATGTGTGTTCAAACTTGCAGGTCATTCGCTCACACCATTTTTCTAGAATATTTATTCTTGCACATCAGACAGGATTATCTACCGTTTCGGCGGTGCTAGAAAACCCTTTCTAATTGTGAAAAATAACCAAACCTGGAAAAGCGTTGCAACGATTTTTTACTCAAATCGGGATAAGAATATCACAAAAATACGATTTTCAATTTATTTCTGAGTATATTTTTTTACAGTTTTTTTTTGTTTTAAGTGTGTAAGTTGATATATTTAAATTCAATCTTTTAGGCTTTTGGATCTCAGCGGAGTTCTTTTAATAATGCAACAATACAACAATAATAAAACGTGCAAAGATTCGTGATGGTCCCTCTCTCTCTTTTAACTTTGTATTCATTCATATTAAGATATAAGATGTTCGGTTGAAAGGTTTTATACGTGTTTATTAATTAATGCATATATTCCGCTCTTACGATCGGTTATAAGGTTATATATATCACGACAACTTTTTTTTATAAAATTGAGACACATTATGTAAAAAAATGTCACCTTAAAGAATATTCGCTCTAAGTTATTGTCGTTCTTAATTCTTAATGATACAATAATGATTTCGAAAGAAAAGTCCAGTAAAGACATTTATATTTTTATGTAGAACAAATATCCTTTTATACTTTTCATCGATGATCACGTACTTGGAGAGTGCCTCCATCATTTTTTTTTTATTTTTGCGTCAAAAATGATATTATTTCTTTTAGTTTGCATTTTACTCATTTTTTTCTTGTTCATTCATATGGGAAAATCTATTATTATTAATGATAACGTAAATAAAATGGTTCACAACAATAGCATACCTTTAATCGTAATATCTTATCAGTGTTAATTCTGTTCAGAAGACGGAAACAATACGCAAACTATTTTTACGGATTTAGTTTATAGTTTCTATAATCAGTAAAAACTTTTCCTTACCTGTTCTCCACGTAAAATTCCACTGTCCACCCCACGTGCTTTGCTTCTCGTAGCATACAACGTCGGGCATTTTATCAAGCTTTGCAAACTGAACCAACGCCGACATTCCCGACGGCCCGGCGCCAATAATGCACACTTTCTTAGATGTCATACTTCTAAATCCTACTAACAGACAAAAAGATAGATATAAATTGTTAAATCATTAGTCATGGTGACACAAGAATAAGGCATTTATAAATCTACAAAAAAGCTATAACATTAAATAGATATATCCATGTATTGACAGTGTTCAAATTGCTACAATAATTTCAGTTTTATAAGAAACAATCATCACCTGCATAAAGACCGAATATTTATTCTTATAAGTATTTAATGTATAAATATATAATAATATATGTAAATTATCATTAAAACTTACGGCACGTGTGGACAATTGAAGAGTGGCTGCACTTATATATCTGGTCGTGGATGTCATTTGGCGTAAAACTCATTGAAGCAGAAATGTTGTATAAATTTGTCGTTTGATGGACGTGATACGTAATATGTTTCTTTTTTATTTTTTTTTAACAAACATACAGAGAAATTCAGATGTTTTTATTCGACATGTTCACCACAAGCAAGATTTGTTAGTGTTTACAAAGTTTAAATGTAGTTTTAATCTTAAAATAGTATCAGCTAACCATTTAAAGGTTTAAAAAGGCAGAAGGAATAACATTTCCACAAGAAGTAGATTATGACCATCTTCATGATATGATTATATCAGTAAACGACATAATATGTTATAAACTTATGTAATGTAACAAGTTTAAAAGTTTCCTGCGGGGAAGTTTTTATTTTAAACTTTAAGAATAACAAGCCCTTAATTGTATTTGAAGCAATCAGCTTTTCGTTAATGTTATCCTTGTTTAAAGATTATAAAACATTTATTATAAACGTATGCCGTTTTAGCAGAATCAAGAACAATAACAACAAGAACCAGTTCCCTTGTGTGACATCAAATATATCTTCAACGATCAAGACCTCAGGGAATATACCCCAAAATGTGTAAAACTGCAAACATGCTTAACTCCCATTTTTAAAAATCTGTAAATGTTATTGCTTATAGTTTATAAAATTGAAAACAGTTAACATGTTATCGATCATGTTTGTTGTAATTAATGATGTAACATACAGTGAAGTGAAGTTTTATTTATGTATATAATTATTCTTCTAAAACAATTTCCAAGCATCCATCAATATGTTAAATATTGCAGCAAAAGTTTATATACTCGTACATATTAATTAAAGGTGAAAAATGAATTGATTCATTTGTTATTGAAAAATGGCTTAGACTTTATCGAACAAAATCTTTTAATTACCACCCTTTATTAACATGAAATGTAAAATTCGTTAATATCTTTACAAATAATGCTTTTTGAATATTATAATATTGATAAATCTTTTGTTTTGAGCATCAGATTTAGGGCTAAGTCACACTTTGGAGTCGTACGATTGCGTTGTGAGAGTGACAGTTTTTTTTTTAAAGTCCCACGACAGATTTTTTTTTCGGGGGGGGGGGGGTTTATTAAAGTTATGTGTCAACTTTCATATTCTACTCTGATACTGCTCGGCAGAATTACTTCAAATTCGGCATATAGCATTCGGTCACGCCAAAAAATTTTTGTTTTGTTTTTGATTTTTTTTTTTTTTTTGTGAAAAAAAAAAACCCAGCTACGACAGATTTCTGTCCTGTGTAAGCGAAGGACTTTGCACTCAGATCTGTTTTCCTGCTTGTTGACAGTGGCTTTAATGAATAAACGGTTACATAAACACATAAAAAAACTATGGTAAGAAGCGTTTATTTGGTAGCAATTGGTTATATTTACTTAGCCCAGTTCAGTATTTATTACAAAATAACACATTACATATTCAATTATAAAACCCATTATCTGATAACCAAAAAATAAATTAATATAAATTTTCGTTCAAGTACCATTTTGGTTTGAGAGTGTCTGTAATTCCTGAGATATTTATTTTTTGTTTAAACAGTCGATCATTTAAAACAGTTCAAATGATAACAGTTTTATTTATTTTCAAATCCATTTGCTACTGCATGTTTGTATTTTTTTTCAACGGTAAGACGATGCCATGAAGTCGTAATTTTATTAATTCATATTTATTTTTTTGTTTTGCAAGTAGCTGATTTATGTTTGATGTACTGCTTAGTGTAGTGTTGACAGCAGTAGGCAAACGAAAAGTGTAAAGAGATAGGTTTGATAAAGTTGTTATGAATAAGAAATATTTAGTTTACGATATAAGCTTTCTGTCAGCGAAGTGTGTGCGATTTTATATTTGGATTGCAAATCCCCATCCAAGTAACGTAATAACACTATAGCGGTCGTGTAAATTTGCGTGCGTGCGTGTGTGCGTGCGTGTGTGTGTGTGTGTGTGTGTGCGTTAATATTGTTTGCTTGCGCGACTTTTTAAAAGGAAGAAAGAACTACATGGCCTTGCGATAAGATACTTGATATTATATAGAGAATATATTACATTACTGAAATCCCAGTATCTGGAATTCCACCGGAATGTAAATGTTCATTTTAAATTGAATTAGAAATCCAAAATTGTACACACAGTTTACAAAGCAGCCTTTGGAGCCCTTGTTTTAATAACGTGAGAGTAAACTATAAATGACCTGGCTGCTCACTATGGTACCTTTACACTTTCTCTGAGGCTACCTGAAGTCAATGGTATACATACCCAACCTCTGAACACCAACATGTTACTGTGTAACAACAAACGAAAAGTGAGGAAAATCAACAAGGAAAACTGCGGCCATGTTGACGATTTCTTAGTGCGAGTCCGGAAAGGAAAGAAAAATGAAAGGTGGCCACTTGGAAAACGTCATTAATTACTAAAATGATGCCAGAGTGTGAATAAATATTTCCAGTGTATTGTTTATACAAAACAGGAGTTTACTTTAGGATATCATTGTTTTTGCATAATTTGTTTCATGCATTTTCTGTACATGTACAAATTTTGAAATGTATCTGATAACGTTGAATATTATATATCAATAACTGAAAGTGTTACCTTTCTTTTTGGACACCCTGTACATGTCTAACAATTTAAAATATTGGTGAAAAGTGATTGTTTAAGTGAAATTATAGATATCTTAAAATATTTACTGTTATCATGGTGATTGACCAACAATTAATATTGGTAAATGTTAAGTATAAAATAAAAAATCTGCCTAAAATATAAAAAGGCTGCCCCACTAAAAAAATTAACGTACTGATAAATTCCGATGGATATTTGCAGTGATTTCCGTATCGTCCATGCGAAGTAAATGAATTATGGCAAAATATAAACTAATTCTGTCTTTCACTTGTTCACTCACTATATACCACCCTTGGATAGGCATAGTGTCACTTTAATATCACAGGAGTGGTGAGCGGAGGGTAGCTGACTGGGAAGTTAAAGAAAGTCTGTATTTGTAAAGTTTAAAATATACAGGTTATGATAACTGTGTATGACTCCTCATGTACATGTACTTTACAACTTTTATCTCATATAAACAAACGTTAGTACCCGTTATGAAGTGTTATCATTAGTTGTCAAATGATTGTTGTACATGTACAGTAAACATTGTATCATCATTTATATACATGTATATAGATAATATATCATCAAATATTATTGAGAACATTTGTATATGTATTGTTATGTGGGAATGAATGAAATGAGAGCAAAAATTTAATTGGCACTTAAGCACAACAGTTCTACTAATTCTATGTGATCTCGGAGTTTGATCTTATAAAATATATTGTATAACGCCTGTATGTATGAATATTTGCTGATTGGAAATTGTGTCACATACGATTATTGATATATACATAGGATTAGCACTTTAATCTCCATTTGTTGACGTAAAATATATAACCAAATGTCATCATTACACCCAATTGAAGAAGAACGTTCCCATAGCAACGACGACGAGGATGATAATGATTTTGATGACGAAGATAATTTAAGGTTGTCAGAAATGGCAATCATGAGGGCTAGACAGTTCATGGTGCGTTTCCTGAAAGGTTTTGGATCCGGGTTAGGGGTATACACTGGTATAAAGATCGTGACGTCATTAATGAGGAATCCGTTCCGGGAAAGGTGATAAAGATTAATTTTACTTTCAAAAGCAGCAATTGTTCATAAAACACAAAAACGATTAGTAATCTGATAGATTCAAATTGTCTGTCTGTCTGTCTGTCTGTCTGTCTGTCTGTCTGTCCAAAAACGAGAGTATATCTTATCAAGGTTGTTTTAATATCAATCACATGCCAAAAGGAAGATTTGGTACATTAAACAATAGGTGTAACATGTTAACCTAGAATAGTTTATTTTCGGATCCCCCCCACACCTCCTTCATAGCTATTTGCCATTGCTGTCTTGAAAATGTATTTAATCAATGTAATTATTATACAGATTTACAAATATCATAGGGAACATTTTTATGTTATCTCAGTAACAACAACGGTTATTTTTGCACGGAAACATATTAAATTAAAGAATATTTTCACATGTAACAGACGTCTTTCAATTTCAAATGGAATGGTGGTATCATAATTTTACAGTGTTTTTGGAATTTATAAATTACAATTAACAATCCTGCCACAAATAATATTTTGAAAAAAAAAAGAATTAAGAGGGGAGTTGGGAGGGCTGTCGTCCGTTCGCACTAGGCAATGTATAATTTGATAACCGGTGTTATTGTAAACGTAAAACACTTATAGCATTGTGTATGCGACCAAAAATTGATTACTAAGGTAATACCGGTAGGAAGTTAGGAGTGAGCAGTGAGCAGTAGCGGTAGCAAAATTATATCAAAGCACAGAAGGCGCTGAATTTGTTTGGGTCTCAGAATGTAAGAAAGGTGCAGGTTGTGAGATTATATGTATAGTGCCACCAATGCTTTCTTTTTCAGCGTTTTAATTGTAGTAAATTGGCTATAAGACTAATTGCAACACTGATATTCAATCCAATGTTTATTTGACTTAAACAATTTGAAAAATAAATGAGTTACCTTTACTGGGATTTGAACTCCAGACCTTTCGCTTTCTAAGCGAGCCCGAAAACCCTTCAGCCACGGTGAATTTATATGTGAACGGCCTAAAGAAACCCATATTATTCTAAATTAGGGCTTGTAACGACTTTAACTGTTGTTTAACACAGATGTAAATAATCCTGGAGCTTTCTATAAGCATGTATATTTATAAAGAATCAAAGGGTTGCAAGTTATGTGGTATTTTCTGGTCTTTGCAATCTAAATCGTATTGTATATCTGTATGCATTTTCCTGTATTAGTTTATTTTTATGTATTATAATTCATTTTGCAAGGCACCAGAGTTTGATACATACGGAATAATGCATAACTAGAGTTGCATCAAAAAATCATTTATGTTCATTTTTTACGACAGCCACACTTTATTCTTGCATATCAGGGCTACTTCCTAAACACGGACACTTAAAAAAAGTTTCCTGGACTGGGATTTGAACTCGAGACCACTCACTCACGAAGCGAGCGCGTTACCCCTGCACCACGGAAAAGTTATACTAACAATGTTTGAATAACATCAAGTCATTCTAAATTTAGAACTTCCATTGCATTTTCGGGTTTGAATTAAAATCCTTATTAATTTCGAGGTATTTTGTTCAGGATAAACCTGTTGTTTAAAATTTAAGTAAATAATTTAGCGAAAATCTTCTCGCCCAAACAGTCCGACATGTAGAATCTATATATTCCACTACTCGGTTTGTGTAGTATTCGGTAATCGACATCGCTAAAAATAGTATTTTCATTGATAAAATCATATTCATCCGCGTAATTTGTGATTGTGCATTTATTGACAATTCTATAAGCCAACTCTATTTTTAAACTTTGAATGCGTTGTAATTTGTTGGATACTTGTAACAAAATAAAAATATTTCTTTCTTTTACATCGCTAGTTTTAAGCTGTTGTGAGAACTACTTGTTGTTAGGTTTGTCGTAAACTTCTTTGTCAGAGATTGAATATCCGCTTTGTATTTACTTATTTTCGATCAGAAAATACAATTAAACAATATTAGAAATCTTCGACCATTCGGTTATTTTGCTTGAAAATAAATGCGCCTGTCTTTGACCACCTTTACGCAGTGATCTCCCCTGAATTTTTCGGCGTTAGTGTACATACAAAAGGGAAGTAACCGCTTCAAAAAAGTGGACTACATTCGGCATTTGCAATTAACAGCATTAGACTCTGAAATTTCGCTACCATTATTTGTTTGGTCTGACGACCCAAACAAATAAAAACGTTAAATTGGCAGTAGCAGTAGCACAGCAGTAGCAGTAGCAACGTTAAAAACAAGAAATTGGCAGTAGCAGTAGCACAGCAGTAGCAAAATTATAAAACGTGAAATTGGCAGTAGCAGTAGCACAGCAGTGGCAGTAGCAAAATTATAAAACGTGAATTTGGCAGTAGCAGTTGTACAGCAGTAGCAGTAGTCAAGTTATAAAACGTAAAATTGGCAGTAGCAGTAGCAATAATAAATTATAAAACGTGAATGAAATTGACAGTAGCAGTAGCACAGCAGTAGCATTAGCAAAATTATAAAACGTGAAATTTGCAGTAGCAGTAGCACAGCAGTAGCAGTAGCAAAATTATAAAACGTGAAATTCTGCAGTAGCAGTAGCACAGCAGTAGCAAAAAGTTATAAAACGTGAAATTGGCAGTAGCAGTAGCACAGCAGTAGCAAAATTATAAAACGTGAAATTGGCAATAGCAGTAGCACAGCAGTAGCAGAAGCAAAATTATAAAACATGAAATTGGCAGTAGCAATAGCAAAATTATAAAACGTGAAATTGGCAGTAGCGGTAGCACAGCAGTAGCATTAGCAAAATTATAAAACGTGACAAAATAATTAAAATTGATTATACATAGATACGTATGATATTTACATTTCTTACAAATGTTATTTTCATAATTTATGTAAAACAATTATAAATCGAACGAACATGTATTTGACATCTGAATTAACAGCACCAGTGCCTTCAGTGCTTTGATCTCGTGTATGTATAAATCACATTATATCAGCAAATATAGAAGATTCTCCTAATAATTTATATGCATAGCTGATAACATGAATAATGTATTTACATGTTATACCGGGGTCATTAACTAGTCGGTCTTAAATGATACGTTAATATGATAGATAGTCATATATGCTTTAGAATGTAATTGTTTCGCACTCACTAACCAGACATTGATTATGTGCATTTACACAAAAAATAAAATAGTTAACTTTGTTTTATATGGATCATGGCATACATCAAATGATAAATAAAATATGATGTTTTCCCCCCAAGCTTTATCCTCATTGCTCATGTTATATATAAGTAACATCAATGTTTTCACGTACTTACGGGGCATTTTCTGCTTAGGTCCATGCTGAATGTGAAGAATTTAAACATTAGGTAAGCTCTGCATAAGGTGTTTTGCTGTTATGTTGAGATTGGATATGCAGCATATAAGGTGAAGGTCATTTCCCTTACATAATAAACCCTCTTATATCTAAGCACTGTCAAAAGGACCTTTAAAGGCAAGCCCCGATAATTTTATAAACAAGTACACTCAGTGGCTAAGCTTGCAACTTGTCCTAGTGTCAATCCGACGGTCAATTTAATTTGGAAAAAAAACAACAACGAAAGATGATTATTAAATGGACACTGGGGTTTTTGACATCACGGGACTGAAAATAAATTTTCGAGATTAATGTCCTATTTGGTGTAGGTCTAAAGAAATAAACCAATTGTGTGGAAAATTTCAGGTCATTCGCTCAATCCGGTTTTCAAAAATAATTATTCTAATTGTGGCAAATGACACAAGTTGAAAAGCGTTGTAACGCATATCACTCAAATCGGGCTAAGAATATCATACATACACGATTTTCGATTTATTTCTGAGTATATTTTTTAAATTATTTTTTTGTATATCTTTCTGGTTTAAGTGTCCCCGTAAGAAATTTTTATGTAAGAAATTAAAATTTTATGTTTTTCGAATTTGAACCTCAGTGGAGTCCCTTTAACAAGAATCTTAATTTACAGAACATCTGTCAGTTCTTAAGGTATCTTATACAGTAAAGTAAAAAACCAAACGACAAAACTAGGACTCATCGTTTATTTTTGTTGTTGTTTTTTGTTGTTGTTTTTTGTTTTGTTTTTTACATTTTTCAAATTGCATGAACAAATCAAGCACATACCAACTAAGCTTCTTTTTTACATTGTAAATAACACAGAAGTTAAAATGCACACAATCTTTTGATTGGCTCCATTACATGTGGTCTTCAAAATAGTTTTATAAAACACTTAAAGTACATAATAAGGCCGTTGTTATAATATTATGTACAAAGCAGGCAATATTTCTCTAATAACATACATTTGTACTTAAGTAGATATAGAATTGTTTATTTAAGCGTATCAAATAGTGTAAAGCTTTTAATTGCCGTCTGCGCATAACTTTTTTTATAACATTTCATCAGAATTTATGCATTTTAGCATGTTGCGTACTAAAGGTGCATTCCCTGTGTGTGTGACATTAAAAATGAATTGTGCGTATATACGTTTTAAAACAGAATGTATTGAATTGCAAAATATGCAAATTCATACAGCTAATTTTTCACTTTGCCAAATATGTGCAGTCATACAATTCAAGGCCAGAATAATGAAATATTTTTACATTGTCTCTGAAGCATCGGTTATATATTGTCTATTGCTCAATGTATATGTGTTCAAATATTAAGCATAACTATTCAAATTTCCATTTGGCACAACTATACTATATACCTGCTTAGTCAGGAGTTAAATATGGCTGCATTTGATTATTTTGGAAGGAAAATATTTTTATAACATTTACCACGCTGAATGTCATTATTCCTGGGACAAAGTATTGTATGTCCCAGATTACTCTTAAGAAAATGAACTTTTCCATCTTTAAAACTGGAAAATTCATTAATCACATCTAGGAAAATTAAAAATAAGTACTAACCAAGTAGCGAACAGCAATTATAAAGACGGCACGAATGAGTTGGACCTCTAGCGACCCGGGTTCAATTCTCAGACACTGCGGGTCACTTCCGTTAATATTTATAACGAGATCCTTTCTACGGTCATTTGCACTGTACCTCTGCTCTGGTATGTACAGAAGAAACATCAGTTCCTTGCGGAAGTTGTACATTCATAGTGGCTTACGGTCGTGATCTTGCGGGTAACCTAAAAAAAACACCACCTATTGTTATTGTTCATTGTTATTCATTGTTCTCTGTACAATTATTGTTGATTTTCAGGTTTTGTTGTTGTTTATTGTGTTTTCTTTCACAGCTTACCGAAGATCCGAGCGGAGTTTCTTGCAAAAGACAGTTTTAAGTTCGCAGCTTTCCTCGGCCTTTTCCCAAGTATCTACGACCTCGTCGTAGAGCTACTAGAACATTATAGAGGACGACGGGTAAGTGTGTTACACCAGCAGTAAAAACAACAGTGTGCCGTACATATTCCGACATGTAGCCGATATCGGCCCGATATGGGAATGTTTGCTGGGGTTAGAGCCATCGCCTGATAAAAAGTAAACTGGAAAGCAAAAACTCAAAAACACGAAAATACGAGTTCGAAAACGCGAAAGTACGAGATTGAAAACTCGAAAGTACAAAGACGAAAACGCGAAAACACGAAGCAAAGAAAGTACGAGAACGAAAATGCGAAAATAAGAGCACAAAGATACGGAAATACGAGGACGAAAACTTTGAAGTAGATAAATATCGACTAAATTTCTCGCGTTCTCGTCATTGCGTCTTCGTCCTCGTATATTTGCATTTTCGTCCTCGTACTTTCGTTGTTTCGTGTCTTTGTTACTCATACATTCGAGTTTTAATCCTCGTACTTCCGCGTTTTCGTCCTCGTTTTTTCGTGTATTCGCTTTCCATTTTTACTTTATTTATTTATAAACGATGGCCCTCACGTAACACCGTAGAAAACAACTTGCTTATGTTGGGGATATATCGAAAGGTCTAGTCATAACAGACGTGCGAGTTTGCCCTCATTATTCACCATTGATAAATGCAAGTAATCATTTCAGTTACAATTTAATTCTTACATAACTAGGTCTCGGTGTCAGTGGAAAGCTTGCACAAGAGTTCAAGAGTTTATTCAGCAGCATTAACATACATGTACAATATGTTCATTGCTATACATATGATATAATGGTGCATGTAATATGACAAGAAAACAAACAAACAAATAGCAATAAGAACAATAAGAATAAACCACACATTGAAATGGTTGCAAACATAATTGTGCAAAACACGAAGAGCATAGATTGTTAGTCTCAGGATATCTTAATATCTTAGCATGCTGTTTATTTTAGATTTCATCCAGTTGGTTTAACCTTAAATAAGTTAGGGTTAAAATAACTAGAAACAAACTAGGAAAACACGGTCATTGCACGTTTAAGCCAACGACACGGAACATGGCTATAAAAAAATAAGCGATTTTAATGTTTTTCTCGTTGTTCAAATGTAGCGAAGATGATAAAAGATTACCCTTTTCAACCTTCAAATATGCGGATGTACAATTATGATAATGTACTAGAATGCTTACTTCAGATTTTAAAATTTCAGGATGACTTTAACAGCGCCATTGCCGGTGGAATTGCAGGTCTGTCAATGATTGTAGAAGATCACACGAGAAGACGCATATATTGTCTCTTTGCCATTGCACGTGCAATTGGTGCCATGATAACAACGCTCGTAAAACGTGGTATTGTGCCAGCAGTTCCATATAGCGAAACGGCTTTGTTCTGTTCGTGCACATCGTTCCTCGTCTATTGCACTGCTTTGAAACCACAATATTTGTTTACAGGGTATTACCGTTCAGTATTAAAGTGGTCACGTGACTATAGTGATCAAAAACTCAAAATTCTATTTAGGGAACCAGGAGCTCATTTTTTGACATGCGCAGAAGCCGGTCTGCATGAACAGAGTTGCACATACCATGCATTCAAGGACTTTCTCCAAAGTTTACCCCCATTTGCGAAGCTGTATTTGCCGATTCACATGGCGCCAATAATTTTCTTCAACCACAAACGGCTTATAAAAAGGTAGTATGCCATAAACTTTTAACCTATTAAAAGATATCAAAATTGAACTACCAACAGTATATTGAGCTGGTCAGATTTTACAGACGTGAAGGATGGTCTGGCTCTTTACTGATGGAAAAAGTTGTTCACGTTCAAATCAAGCAGTATAATAAATTTCCTACCAGCTGATCGATTATTTCTAATGCAATTTTATGCAAATATACAGTTAACTTGGATAATGTAAGCAATAGATTTAATGCTTCAAATATGACTTATGCACCAATCAGTTTTAACCTCATACCTGGAAAAAATCCGTTTTTAACCTTTCATCTGTACCCCGTACTACCGGAACAAAACGGGATGATTTTGTTTTGACCTCAAAACAGCAGGGCTTATGACCTACTTGAATTGCGAAAGATAAGGCAGAAATTTCTCTGCTGTGCGGAATTCTGATAATCAGTAAGTCAGTATCCCCCTCCTCCAGAGGGTGTGGTTTCAATTGACTGGTGCATGATTTTAATGTTTAAGAATAAATATGAAATTCTAGGGTAGATGTATGCTACGATTTTTTCAACCTTTCCAATTTATTTCAGACCTAAAAGGGTTTTAATTTCACTTCTGAAAAATATCGTGTTTTCTACTGCGTTTCTTGCTACCATGGTGATGTTGGCCAAATACGGAATATGTATACTGCGCAACTTCCAGTTCCGGAAACCGCCGCTGTCTCCATGGATACCAACAATGGCTGGCTTTATCGCTGGACTCGGTGTTCTTTTTGAGAGAGAAAACAGGAGAAGAGAGCTTTCTCTTTTTCTCATTCCACATACATTATATGCTATATATCTTTGGGCAAAGGAGCATGGAATCATCAAGCACATTCCAAATAGTTCATTGCTTATGTATGCAGTTGCCATGGTTCCTATAATGCATGCTTACGAGCGGGAACCAGAGTCTCTCAATCTTCTGCTACATAGCGCCCTCAAGTTCTTCGTCGGAAAGCGACAGAGTACCATAGAAAGAAAGAAGCGAAGGACTATAAGTGAAATGAGTATGTAAAATGTTGAAAGTTGTGAAATACATTGTATGTAACATTATTCTCAATGGTTCATTCCCAGCAGTGCAGACATAATGTTACCTCAGTATGAGCAGGAAAATATTATCATTCATGTGTGTTTTCTTGGTTAAACTTAATATTTACATCTTTAACATAACCTTTATCTTATAATTGGGGAAATTACAACTTAATTATAATAAACAAAAATATAATTTTAACACTTTAATATAATACTCTAAATAACAGTAATATTACAAAAACGACGGAGTTCTTGACGATGTGAAACAGAGATGGACTTCTTTTCGGTATAGATATCTAAAGAACTAAAGTCCGTAATAAATTAGGCGGGCTTTTCATGTAATATGTATTGCAAGTAATGACTTTATTTTGATGAATATCTGAAATACAACTGTAAATTATTTTTCCATTTCAACTTCTTCTACGGATTATTGTCGGTAAATAGGGAGACCGGCAGGGGAAAATATATACCTTCCTCATTATGTACGTTAGACATAAATGATTAATATTAAGTCTCTGAAATTTGTTTAATGATTATGAGATTTCCCCCGAATAAAACGAACGTTCGGATACAAACGGATTCGAACAATAAGTGAAAAATGCCTTCCCTTCTTCGAATGCTTTGGGTTTTTTTAAAAATAAATTTATGCTATACGAACAACTATTTGCTTCATCATAATTGAATATGTAGAACTACAGTATCACATTTTAAATAAGATTCATGATACTTATATGTAGGATCTGAATATAGGAGTTAATTAGAACTATTCACAAAATTAAATTGGTCAGGCGCGGAAGAGCGACCAATTTAATTGTGTAAATACGTACTACTAACATTACATAAGGATCGCCCAATCTTATACTATGGAACGCCATAACTGCCTCATGTTGTGACATTTCGTTTTATTTTTCCTAAAAGCGTCTTATTATGTATAAAAGAAGTGTTGGCTAGCCAAAGTTTTATGAGAACCTGTCTTTACGTAGTCTTATTAGGTCAAATATTCATTTTATCTTGTCAAATCGTAGTGCTGACTTGTCTTAACACTGTCTTATTATTTCAAAACGTCATATTATTATGTGCAAATCCGGTGTTAACATCCCGAATGGAAGTCTTAACATGTCTAACATGCACGCCATCTTTTCGAATTGAGTTTCAATATGTCTGAACACAGTCTTGTTTAAATGTGGTGTTGAATTGCATTGAAATTGTCTTATCACGTGAAACAGTAGTGTTATCTTGTTAAAAGTTGGTGTCATCTTGTCCAAATGTGATCATGGTATGTTATGACACTGTTGTTTTATGTTAGACTGTCCTTCTGTCTTCTCCATATGTGGTATTGACTTGTCTAAACACCGTCACATTTTGTCAGACTGCCATGTCATTGTGTTCAAATTCGGTGTTATCTTGCTTAAAGAATGTCTTTTATGTCAAAATAGCATGCTGTCTTGTCCAACTGTGGTTTTAATTCGTCTAGAAATTGTCTTATTATGTGAAACAGTAGTGTTATCTTGTCGGAACTTGGTGTCAACTTGTCAAACTCATGTCTTATTATGTCGGCTAGTAGTGTTCAACCGTTTAATTGACCTGGCTGAGTTCTGTCCTGTTTTGTCAAACTTATGTTGCTTTCTATGAGGTGGTGTTATTCTGTCTTATTGTACCAAAACACAATGCTTTCTTGTCTAAAACTGTTGTTATCCTGTCTAAAAATATACTTATTACGTGAAATAATAATGTTGACTTGCAAATAAATTTTGTTTGTTTGTATAACGTTATTTTATTATGTCAAACAGTATTGTTGACTTGTCGAAAGATGGTATTGACATGTCTAAACACTTCCTTATTTTCTTAGATCGCCATGCTATTTTATCCAAACTTTATGTTAATTGGCCTAAACACCGTCTTATTATGTAAAATAATGGTGGTATCTTTTCAAATTATGGTAATGAACTGTTAAAACGCTATTTTAATTTTTCAAACTGTCATGTTATTGTGTCCAAATGCAGATTCAACTTGTCTATATTTGTCTTATTATGTAAAATAGTCATATCATCTTGTCGAAACTTGGTGATGACTTATCTAAAATTACTATCGTTTTGTCAAAGTGTTATTTTATTTGGTCAAGGTTCGGTATTAATTTTACTAAACATCGTCCTTTTATGGCGAAGTATCATGTTTCCTTTTCAACTGTGGTGTTTACTTGTTGAAACACAGTATCATTATGTAATACAGCGGCGTTGACTTGTCAGTTTATGACGTACACATGTCTAAATACCCTTTCATTATGTCAGATAACCGTGTTATCCTGTCCAGATGCGATGTTGCCAAAATTTAGTATCACGTGACCAGTGCCCGCGCGGAGCGTGAACAGATAGAGCAAAGAAGATAACGGGACAGTAAAGCAAAATCAGACAGCGCTTTCTCAAGACAGAACTCAATTTGAACAAATTTACACGATTATCAGACATCATAAGACTGTTTCTGTGTTTTACAAGAAAACATCAAACTTCGACAATATAACACTTCTGTTTTACATCATAAGAAAGAGTTTGGACAAGTCATTGCCTTATTTTGAAAAGATATCGCAATTTTTTGACTTTATAAGACTGAGTTTAAACCGCTTTTTGACAAACTAGCATACAGTTTATCATAATAAGGCATGATTTAGCCCAGTCAACACCCCATTTCGGCAAGATAATTCGAATATTTGATATGAAAAGACAATTCAGTAGTGTACGTTGGCATATTAACACAGTTGTTTTACAAAATGAGACAATGTTAAGGCACTTAAACACCGTATTTTGACAAAATAACACGGCAGTTTGATAAAATAAAGCTGTGCTTTAACAAGTCAACACCACATTTCGACAAGAGAACACTACTGTTTCAAATGATGAGACAGTCTTTTGACAAAACAGCTCCACAATTTGACCAAATAGCGCGACTAGTTGACATAATATGACACATTTCAGACAAGCCAAAACGACATTTTGACATGATTGTCAAAATACTGTTTGAAATAATTAAACAATGTTAACACAAGTCAACATCACATTTTAAAGAGATAAGACTAATGTTACGCATAAAAAGGCAATGTTTAGACAAGTCAACAAATTACAATGGCATTACAACGCTAATATTTGACATAATACGACGCTTTCTGGGCAAGATAAAAAGAAATGTAATAACATGAGGCAGCTATGGCGTTCCATATTATACTAACTTGATGGAATCGCATTCATTTATAATAGTAGGATATAACTTTTAAAATAAAACAGCAGGTAAAAATCCCAACATTATAATTTTGCTGTGTCACATAAAGGTTAATGATAACCCATGCTCAGTAATAAATCAATTGGCAGTTTATGCCTGGTGTAGAGTCACAACATTAATAACAAGAGCCACCGCCGGCGCAGGGGCAATGCTCGACTTTTTACATTTTCTAAAAGCAAATAAAGAAATGTTTGAACAAAACTTAACGTATCCTTTCTATAAATTTAACCGGTCTGTCTTGTCACATTAATTAATTTTGAATCATTTCCATATGTATTACAGAAGTAAAAAAAGAAAAAACGTCAAGGTACTCGTATGTCTGTTTATTTTTATATCTTGAAGATTTTTATGTTCAAGTTTGAAGACAATCCATTAAAAAATAACAAAGTTACAACCAATAATAGCCCCATAAAATGAAAACTTCAATAATTTGACCTTCAAAGTTAAGAAGGTCAAGGTTTGTCTACTTATTGTAAAGGGCTATCATTGAAGATTATTATATTCAAGTTTGAAGACAATCCATTAAAAAAACCAAAGTTACAGCAAATAACCAAAAAAAATAATGAAAATTTCAATAATTTGACCTTCAAAGTCAAGGTCATTTATGAGTGAAGGTCATAGTATGTCTGATTATTTTTAAGGGCTATCATTGAAGATTATTATGTTCAAGTTTGAAGACAATCCATTCATAAATAACAAAGTTACAGCCAATAATAGCAAGAACAAGCAAAATTTGGACTTTTGACCTTGAAGTTCAAGGTAATTTATGGATGAAGGTCAAGGTTAGTGTGGTCTACTGAAAGGTCTTGTCCCAAAGGTTGTTGTGGCCGAGTATGAAGACAGTACACCTAAAATAGTTATGATCCAGGTACAAGTTTGTGAATGGCAACGGCAACAATACAACTACTTTAAAAAAAAAAGTCGAGCTAATAATTATAAGATTTTATTTGCTACTTCTGATCATCAAATCTAAATTACCATGATCAAAATGTCAATGTTTTATGACAGTTATATCTATTGCAAAAAAATGTGATATATGAGATATAGACCAGGTTGTAGTTCATGTAAAATCATGTAAACAGAAAGCCATAAATGTTGATTGATGATTCAATGACAATACATTTATATAATCTGATCCTTGTTGTTCAACAAATTTTAATAAATATTACATTTCACAGCTGTTATTGTTAGTAATAAAAAAATCTTTGTAATCAGTTACAATGTATCATTATTTCACATTAATATACAATTTATAATTATGTGTGCCAATTTACTTTGAAATCCCATCATGCATGCAGAAGTTGAGAAATGGAAATGGGGTGTGTTTTAACACTATGTCCAACACACGCCACTTCTTTTTACTTAATGAGTCAATCATAAAGCTAGCCATTCACTTCCAAGTGATAATTAATACACTTCTTTTGTACACTGAACATATTGTTAACAGTCAATAAAACAACTAATTTTTTAAAACTTTTTTTACAGAAAATATTTCACTACGAAATAAGTGAAACAGCTTATAAAATTAGGGGACTAATGAGAGTCCATCTGAAATGAATTTTTTCTCTTTAATTTCATCAATCTTTAAAAAATCTTAAAAACTTTTCACATTCCTCAATAATTTGATGTTTTTTTTTTTCAGGGGGTGGGGGGGGGGGGGGGGGGGGGCATACCAAACCTTATTCAAAAACATATCAACAATATAAAAAAGAACTATAAATTAAATCATCCAAACCACCTGCTGCAATAATTGATAAAATATGTAATTTAATTTTCAAACTTGTTACAACCTTGAGCATTTAATGG